CAGAGACAGGTACGAGGCTCCCTGTCCTTTTGGATGATTGGCTAGTTTGCCACTTGCAGTGTGGAGTCCTCATATAACCCTCTTGCAGTGCGTTAAAAGAATGCTTGGATGTGTGTCCTTGCATCAACGAAACTGTTTATCAGAGTGCATTTGTTATTCAAGGTCTACAGGTACGGCCTTTTCTGTCTTGTTACAAAGTTGAAACTTTTGAAACAGCACATTCACAAGATTCACACACACCAGTAGTGTCCGGTACATGCAAAAACATACTTGTTCCACAGTTAATTGTGGGGACATACATTTACACTCATCATGACATTTTTGTGAGGACTGAAAATCCACAACTGTAGATCTGTCCTAATTTGCCTAACAAAAGGAATTATCATTGTGAATAAGGCCTATCTTAGCACACGCCATCCGTAGCCAATTACTGGACATTCCACGTCTACACTTTTACCCGTAACACCAGCAGTCAGATCATAATCGCAGCCTCCGATGACAACCTACATGTACATGTAGTGTCAGCTACATGTACTGATCTTGCTCAATTATGGGTGCCTGCAAAAACAGACATATTGGCACAAAATTTACATGGGATGGAATTTCGAAAGAAATGGACTGACGAAATGTCACGCGAGTGTCAGATGGAACGAAGTCACCTTTGCATAAGAACAGAAAAAGTAATCAAACAAGCTGATATACATGTACATGGGCCGTTATTCAATACTCGACTTGGGCTCTGTCTCAGGCTTCAACTGTTTTTTACTTCCTGACTTTGAGGTTGTAAGTGCAACAGTAAGTCTGATAGTGCCACAAAACATCAAGTAAGATGCAAAAGAGCCAAACCTTACAGTACTTCAATTTAAGTTAAACGCTTCAGGCCCACAATCGGGGATTGGTTTCCTACACAAAGCCCGAGACGGAGACAAAGTAGAGTATTGGAAAACGGCCATCTATAGTTTATTTACATGTACTCTGTAATGACTGGAGATATGGTTGATGTGTAGCCCTTATTTGCTCTCAAAACAATCCTGAATGAAATTCTTTTCATAATCAAACAAAAATTACCAATCAATTTCCTGATCTTGCCAAGTGCAAACACTGAATTGGCAAACTACCTGAGGATATAATGTATTGCTGACCATGGGATGCAGTGGTAGCAGCCGGCAAAGACATACATGTATGGTAACCGGTACATGTATAACGTTTAACAGGTTTGGAAATTTGGATGATTTTCTAATGATTTTTCCCAAACCGCAGCACTGGAAACGCAAAAAACACAAACCGACCAAGAATGGCAGGTTGACACGTAGTTTCCTTTGAAGTGAAAACTCTGAAGAAATGTAATCTGGCAGTTGATGGACAAAGGCCTTGAGCGAGATGTGGACTTGCATTTGTACATGTATACATGTATGTACATGTAATTGACAGCAAATACATCTATACATTGTACAAATGTACACGTAGCAACTGCTATGGGAGCTTGATAACAAGAAAACTGCAAAGAAAGTTCTTAACAAGTTAACTGCCGACGTGCACACACGTGGTCCCAGCTAGGTGTACCAGATTCTGCCACTACAAGTATACTTGTAGAAAATGAAAGGTTTTTGTTATTGAATACACTGGCATCGATCACTTGGAACACAACAAACACACGTACACTCCTGGCAGTGGCCGGGACACATCTATAATATTTTTTCATGTTCAAATACTTTTGAATAACTCGTTTACACCGTTAGAATTTAAAATCAGAAATTGACATTTGAAATGTGAAATGTGTCGTCACCTGGTGTACTTTATTTTCAATCAAGAGTGAAGAAGAAATTGTTATAATGCCAAGATAGGTTTGAGTTTTGACTAGTGGCTTTTCATCCTTTGGGTTTGATTACATTGATGTATCCAGGTGGAAGGGGGGAGGAGGGCAGGTTGCCTTGCCTCTGGTGGCACGTCACCCTTATCAGAAAGTGAAAGGGCCAAGTGAATCAGAAAAAGTGAGACCAAATTCCCCCTTTACCCCACCCCAAAACAGTTTGATCAATCAACAGCAACAAATTATCAGTTCATCTTTGTGTTGTCTAAATCATGCAAGTAAACAAGGTTTCTGTTTTCCATTCTCTTTCCATTTTTGAGAAACATACACTATAGTACAATGTTCATGACATGGTGTTTCTTTTTTTCACGGACACATTTATCCAAAGCTGTACACACAAACCCAGTTGCTTTCGAAATGTCAAAGTGAACAAGTTGTTTGGATTACTGGACAGTTCTGATTCCTAATTGTTCCCATAATTCCATCTGATTATTTTGATTCCCTGATAGTACAGTTTACATATACATGTAGTCAGTATAGTTCATGGGAGGACATGGTGTTCCATGTATTACACTGTCAGCACTTATTAGTCAGTTTATTTTGTAATAATCTGGCACGGACGGTTCATGCAGCATACATGTAGGTAACATACAATCCAATGTCAACGGCAGTCCGAACTTTCACAGAATGCAATCCACATGTACATATTTGTATTGCATGTGCGATACCTGGTATGGAGAATCACTGAAGTTTGTCATCCCATCACCTACATTGTATCTACGAGTTATTTCACAGTGACACCGTACGAGATACTAGTAACATGTATGTAACTTGTAGCTGGCATAGTGGAATCATCAGCTCCATGGCATTGCCAGCTACAAGCTACTTTTTTTTCTTTATGGAGTACTCGTAATTAAAAAAGAACATACTACAACATATACACCGGAAAAGTACATGTACCTATTAAGCATGCGCGCATGCAATACTTAGCACATGGGAACCCCCTTTGAAATGATGGACAGCAGAGTCAACATTATATGTTAACAACTGACCAATATCCAAGATGCTGCATTTATGTGTACATGTATATACATGTCCATGTATAGACAGTATACATGTACTTCAAATTAGGGCATGTACATGTGCATGTCCGCACTGGTATCATAGCAGTTACTCCTGTACATTTTTTTTAACATTTAGAGGTGCATGTACTTACACTGTATGTTTTGGCATCCATATACACTGTACATGTAGTGCCACTCGGCCGGTAACGTAATAAATCTTAAAAAAGGAAATAAACATTCGCTATGTCGACTATGATCAGGCCATTACAAAGGTTACCAGTACTGCATGTAAATGTACAGTGTGTGTAAAGGTTTCTACGGGTACATGTACTTGTAGCAGTCACATGGACGTGTACAGTATATACGCACTGCCACTCACTTTAAACAGCAATGATAGAACTGCAATAACCCAGTCAAGGTACACAGTCTTTTCAGTGTGTTGCTCATCATCCGATGAAAGTAAAGCTGGCCTACTGTCAAGAAATTGAGCTAAGTATTGTCTGAATACATTAAGACATGCAACAAAATACTACATGTACCGTACATGTACAGTACCGGTACATGTATGGTACATGTACTGTACATGTACATGTGCAAAGTATGACAAGTTTGATCCAGATTGAACTTACAACCTAAAACCATGCAGAAAAAAATCCAGCTTTCAGAGAGAACACACTAGTTATATTCACAAGATCCTCCACTCACACATGTAACACACATGTAATAAATAAACCAAACCAACAACGTACAACTAAAGTCCGGCTGAACATTTCTTCCCAGAAGACACTGTTTGCATTTGCTCTGTTTCAGCAATCAACTCTCAGATTACCTGCAGGGTAATCTCCAGAAAAAAAAAGAGTCTGATGTGTGCGACCGTGCAGGTTGTGGAACTTTTTTAATCAGCCACTGCGTACCATGATTAATTTGGTATTTTTGCAAGATCGTTGGCACGTCGCTGCAATCTATGGTACAGGGGAGACGTCGCGTGCATCACGCTAATTGCCCTAATTTGCAGGGCAGTTCTGAACCACACGACATGCATTTGTAATGGAGGAGGACAATGGTACGTGGGCAAATACATTTGTACATGTTTTCAGCTGTACTGAGGATGTTGCACCTGTTCATGTTCATATATGTGTAAACAGTTGACAGGTACCAAGTGTAGACACGTGCAAATGACCTTAGTATTTTATAGTGCTTCTTAGGAGAATTTTAACATCCCATTTTATATAAAAAGTTCTTAAAGTGGTTCCTTTCATATTTTCTGTGAAGGGCTAAACCCGCACCACCTATTGGTTTTGTATATTCTTTCCTGCTTTTTGGTCGTCGGCATCAAGTTTTTTTGATAATTGGAAGATTTGTGACATCATCAAAATATGATTACTCTGATTTTGAAATCCGAGGAGGTACATGTCCCAGAGCTTAGAAGTTGAGAGAATGCTAAAAAAAAAAGAAATGACGTCATTATAAATACATGAACATGTACCTTTATGTAAAGGTTTATAAGATGGTCTGACAGGTTTTGATAGGAAATTATTATGATGGACTGTGGGTATGTACATGTAGGATCCTATAGGAATGTACAGGTAAACATGTACATGTATACAGTACATACATGTAGTTAATATCTTTGGTCCTACAGTGCATGGCTTTACCTTTGGGGAAGAACATACACATGTACATGTACATGTTTTGAAGCACAATAAGCGTACCGGTAGCAACATTAAATCACAGGCCAGGTTCAGCATGCTGGACAAGGAGAAGGGAAGGATCCCTGTCTAAAATGGCCAGCATTCTCACAGGGCAGCTTTTAAAAATCATATTGTACCGTACATGTACATGTAGTGCATCTAGAGGGAAACAGTGGAAGCTCTCACTTTGGAACACTCTAGATCTACTTTGACATGTCAGTGAATCGCTGTACCTACATGTAGTGAGAAAGACGGGATATCCATCTCTTGACAAGAAATGTGTAAATGGGCCCCATCTCTGCCCCCTTCCCTCAGGCTGATATCCATGTCCAAATAGGAAGGTCAAATTTTCAAAGAAACCTACGTTTGTTCGAAGGTTTTCATGACAAGGATCTTATGTCAGGGTCCCAGCGGCGAGGCTGAGCTACATCTCACCTCAGACTGCTGACTACAAGATCCAGTGAGTCATCGCGGAAAGGCAAAAACTCTTCATCTGCATGGACCTTGACGCACTGGATGCCATCCGGTGTGCGGGCTGCCTCCTGTTGGAAAAGACGTCACACACAGAAATACTCGTGTCAAAGGAGAAAAGGAAACCAACTTGACAAGGACCCTTGCTTCGTCCACTGGGACAGAAGCCTGAATGCCTATGATGTCACCGGAGGAACAGTCGAGGTTATTAACCTTTAAGAAATTTATGGCTTCTTACTTGTCACAATTCTGCTATAGTTGATGTCACGTATCGTGACAGAGAGTGTGAAACTAGAGAAGCTGCTTTCTGCCCAAGGGATTGAAAAGGTATGAAAGGTACATGTACATGTGTACAGTTAAGATACATGTATGGAAAATTCATACGGGGTAATAGAGTCCCATACATGTACATTATGTTTACTAGGAAGAAGGGTGGAACTCTCAAATGGTAGAGATGGTAGATGGAGAAAGAATTACGTGTATCAAGATACATGGTCGGAACCCGAGTGGCTACACTGTCAGTTCATCGCAGAAAGAATATCGACATGTTATTTTTGAAATGGCTGCAGCATTAATTGGAAATATCAAACTCAAAAACCGAGATGCCACCTGTGAGAGTTTTTTGTGTGAATTATGGTTGTTAGTATGTAATTCTATGGCTACAGCTAAATGGCCCAAGGAATACATGTTATTCCATGATTGTCAAAAGAGATAAAGAAATAAGAATGAACATCATATGCTTCACCAGTCGTAGTTGGAAATGTAGGCAGAAGAGTAGCATACACAGGTTTCACTTTTTAAGATTGCTGAAGTTTCGTAGTGCGTGTTAATGTACATGTGTGTACTGGTGTCATATTCCACATGTCAAAGAAGACTAATGTATCTGAGTACTTGTACACATGTATATCTCACATGTTTAAACACGCACATGTAGACTATGAAAGGGCACTGTGTATCAAGCCCCAGCTACATTACACCTACATGTACAGTATTGTACATACACATCAAGTGAAAGGAAATTTATAAAGAGTGACAGTCGGCGTCCACAAATGCAGATGGGCTGCTGGGATGATCACTTTCACACCAGTCATGAAAGTGATCTTGTGGTCCAAGAACTACCTGATGAGACTGGGTGTCCATGTACTGAGTATGTGCGTGTATGTTATAAAGTGAGGATGCCCATAATGCACATACACCTGATCCAGTGTGTGATCTCCCATCCCATCAATTAATGAACCACGATGAGTAAGTCCATAAATTGGTATTCAGAGAATGGCAGACATCACGTGCATGTACATGTACATGTACACCTCAAAGGGATTCTCTCCTTTTTACATGCACGGAATTTCAAACAAAGTGTTGGCCTTACTGTAAGTAAACATGTTGCCATGCAGTACGTGTACATGCAGTTGCTCTCGCAGTAAAAAGTACATCCCATCCCATCCAAAAAACTGAAAACAAGGGGAAAAAGGACAGTGAAGGAAAGAAAAATCAACCCATTTATCCATTCAAGGTCTTACATTGAACAGTACATGTACATGTAAATTTCCCTGAGAACTGAACAGACATTTTCCCTTCCACACATGTACATGCATGTACTCGTATTTAGTTCCTTCCCCTTTCAACCAATACTGCAAAAGAAAGAAATACTTGCAAAATATCAGTGTATGAAAAAAACATGTACTGCACTGCAACCAATATATACTTATTATATATATTATTATAGTTATTAACTATTATATACCAGTATTTATGTGTACCTAAGAAACAGAAATAAACTGCGGTTTTGAATAGGAAACTACCATTGGTACCAGTACATTTACAGGGCAATAACAAAGTCCTAAATATATGGACACCAAATTCCTTTCTGTTCTACATGTCAATTCTTTACAGTTTGCTTACTTCATACTTGCAGTTTGTTACTTTTTAATGGCAGCAGTTCAACCGTTTCTAATACTATATTATACCACGTTTCATTTGAATGTAAGTTGAATAGAACAGCGTCGTTTGACAAGTTTCTGTGAATACTTTCAGCATCAGTGGGGTAAAGAAATAAATGCCCAACCAAGGAGTACTTACATTGTTTAAAGTCAGCTTGTCATTTATACATCAGTACTGGATTGTGTACTAATGGAATTTTTAATCATGCACGTACTTAAAAAGTTCAAAGTATGACATTTGTTAATGACAGAGAAAAATAACAAAAAACTTTTGCATGCATATACTGTATGTACGTACATGCGTACCTAGCTAGTTTTTAGATCATTGTTATCACATCTGCTCTTACATGGAAGGATTTTTCGGTTTGGTTTTGGTGGTTGACAATACACTTGTACATGTATACATGTACTCTACATGTAGGTGAAATATTTAACAACGTGTATTTCTCTCTGAGGGGAAGAATCCAAAGGTACTGTTTTCATGAGTAATTTTTTTTTTCTGTTTTTATGAACGAGAGTGCGGTTGGGTTAATGCATATCAGCATGCCTCCAACAACCTGGCAGGAGTGGTGAATTGTGTCCTTCCACTAAAATGCCCCTGCTACTTCAAGCCAGAATTCCGCTCATGTGGAGTACCACTCGGCAGAGCAGTGCCCTACATGTCAAGTTCTCTCACCCTGTTGTTGATGCAATATACCTCCCTTCCAGAATGAAAGAAAAAAAGGGGGGAAAGCAGAATAAGTACATAGGAGGACTCAAATTTGGTCTCAACCAGAGTGAATCGGTGCTGGTGATGTACGTAGTTGGACATTTGGGCAGTGTGTGGGCTAGCAGAGTGCTGTGAATTAGCCCCATTGGGACCTGTGTATTGAGGCTCAAGTACGCTTGCATTAACCCACAGTGTTTATACTGAACTCAAAAAGTCTGAATCCAAATGTACAACTTGCACGTCTCCTTCCTCACATACTCCAGCACAGTGATCAAATACAAATTAGGCCGGGGAAGAGGCTGCTTTATTTCTGAGCTAGCTGTGCCAAAAATAGGCCCGCGGCCACCAAAGAAAAATACAGCGGCCAATTCTACCCCGATTCCCGGGGAAAAACACCAAATAGCAACGCAGACATATACTGCCTTGAAGTTTGTCCAGGGGGTATTCGGCCAATAATCAGATCCTACCTGAAATATCTTGGGGACAATATCATAGAAACAGCTGTTCATATACACGTAGCCACCCCGCTACCATGGAAACTTAGGAACTGAAACGCACCAAAGGGCACGGCTTACAAAATCGGATTGCCATCTCCTACAGGTGAATGTTTGTTTAGTGTGTCCAGAACTCAATACATGTATACATGCTCCTGTCAATGCAGCAGTATCTTCCCATAGAATATACATGTGCATCATATGAGAATGAGCAGGACCACATTTCTGAGACTCACACAAAGGTAACCCCCCCCAAAAAAAAACAGAGAAAAGGGTTGAACCACGGATAAATTGATTAAATCTGTGGGCAATTAAGGCTACCGGTACTTCGGAAAATCCACCCCAATTATCACATGATTTCCGGGCAAGCTTTGCAATCTAAAGCCTTCTCGCTGATTTCCACAATTAACCACAGTGCCCGTTTTTGCGCCTGGTGACGTACAAATGGCTTACAATCTTTCCCTCGTCTTTCAGTCGCATTGCATCCCATGTCCCTCAGGATGGGAGGCCAGGCAACAGCATTTTTTTTTACTTTTTAGTCTTAAGTGCAAGATGGAATTATAGCCAAATTACCAGCACATACCCAGCTGAAACAACTGCTTCAGGGAGAGAAGGAACCTTCACTTGTAACGTAAGTAACGTTATCTTGAAGGGACTTAGCCACTTTGAGCACGAAGCAACAGTACGTGACCGATTTTGAGGTGATTTCGAAGGCATTATCCCGCTTCTGATTCCTTGACAAATTTCATGATCAATTTGCCAAAGACCACTTACAATCACATAAAACAGGAAGGCAGTAAGAGATAAAATGACTCAAGTGATTTGACGCTAGCTTGCCTTGAAGTCATGATGAGGTAGAGATTCACAACCCATCAATGGCTGGAATGACAACAATCTTTCTTGGACCTATCATGGAATTTTAAAAGGCCATGTAATATACTCTAAAAGACAATTTTCATACCAATAGTTTCAAAATACTCTGGACAACAGTGAATATGCAGTGCATGAGCGTACCCTGGAAAGGGGTCACGGTGAGAGATGGAAACAAATCCATAAAATTGAAACAAATTTTTCAAATAGGAAAGAAACAAGTACATGTACATACGTGTACATGTAGATGAAAGGTGAAAAAAATCCACAGGAAAGAAACAAATATAGGTACAGGTGAAAAAAAACCCATAGGAAAGAAACAACCTATGCATACATGAAGGTTAGAGGTGAAAAGAAATCCATGGGAAAGAAACAACCTTTGCATAGGTGAGAGGTGAAAAAAAAAAAACGGAAAGAAACAAATACAGGTACAGGTGAAAAGAAATCCATAGGAAAGAAACAATTACAGGTACA